TCCGCGACGACGCGGAAGTTTCAACAAAGGATAAATGGATTTCCAGCACTGAAAATCCCTTGCAGTAGCTCTGCTACTAAATATATTTAAAATGGGTATCTCTGTACAGCTGTCGCTTCCGGTGTAGACGCCGTGTCTTTGTGTGACTGAGCAAAGAAAACAATCAGTATAAATATAACGATCAGTAAACTAAACATCGCACATCCTGCGATGTGACTATCGCGGATGCGCACATCGCGATATCGATGCTGAAACGTTATATCGTTCAGCCCTAGTGCCTTGTGTTATGGAGTTGGAAAATGCTCAAAAGAAAGTGTACTATAAGGTGTTATAGAGTTCTAAATGGTGTAAACCCCTTAAAAGTGTGCAAGCAAGCATACTTACTATTAACAAAAGTGTCCATTTGTCACCTAGGAATTTGATCTAAACTAAATCTGAGGAGCTCACAGGTATTATTAAGTTATAAACAGCAAATATATATAAATATTAAATATAGTTTATATTTAAATATACATAGTAATATACTATACATGGTAAATATTATAAATACTATTGCATTTAAATAGTGCAACAGTTTGATCAGAAACAGAACTACTTACCACTTTTTCTCTTGTAGCGTGAGATGACGCAGTACGATACAATGTACAGCACCGCAAACAGGAGGAAGCAGACCTAGAAACACATGGAACAAGATGGAGTTTTCAAACACTTCTGTTCTGCAAGGGCTTTTACGTTGTAAACTTTTTATTCATACCCTTTTTAACTAAAAGCATCATCTTATATCAACTGAAACCGAGTAAACAAGAAATTTACCCAAGTAAGATTTTGTGTACTGTGTGTCTAGAAATTCACTGATTCCAAACGTAAGTCTTTGTTATTTATTATATACAGGGCTTGACATTAACTGCTGGATTTCAGCAGTGGCCGGTAACTCCTACTAGCCACTTCGGCGGGTTGAATTTTACATACAATAACTTAGGGCTGTGCAAAAAATAGAATACTACACAGAGCCGTAGTTCACTGACAAGCTACACAAAATCACGTTCAAAATCGTCAATGAATCGCCTGCGATTTTGAACGCGATTTTGAGTAGCTTGTCAGTGAACTACGGCTCTGTGTAGTAAATGCCGCTCCATCTGAACGCACGTGCTGGAGATTTACTACTAATCACAGAACCGGCTTTACTGACGAGATGCACATGAAAATCGCATTCGATTTTTTGCACAGCCCTACAATAACTCGAGATTAATGCTAGTCTGGGACAAGTAGATTTTTTGAAGGGGCAAGTGAAAGAGATTTTTACAACAAACGTGATTAAAACATCTAATTAGGGAATCACCAAAATTGCAGCGAGAATGTTTCTGATTTGATTACATTTGGTGCAAACGGCAATTTAGTGGATAATGACAGTGACAAGGTCGTGCAAAGTTGTGTGTGAAAGAATCTCGTGAATAAATAAAAACAAATTAACGCAACTGCACACAGAAGAAACATAGGCTACTGCAGTAAAAATGTAGTTTTTCTATTTATAACATATGATATATAGCCTAGTTAAAGGTGGGGTAAGCGATTTTTCAAAAACGCTTTAGAAAACTGATTCGGGCCGACTAGCAAAACAAACTTGTAGCCAATCAGCAGTAAGGGGCGTGTCTACTCATTATGTGGAGGAGAGAGCGTTCAGTGCACAGGACGGACATTAAGTGAGCCGAGCAACAGAAAGATAGAGATTGCGGATAAAAAACAAAAGAGGAAAATGTCTGCAGAACAAAAGAAGGCTTAAGGCAATAAGGCAAGAAGTAGGACCCGTGTAAATATCGGATCAGCTTTCCAGCGCTGGAGAGAACTCAAGGCGCAGAAGGCCTGCGATCGGACGCCGAGGTTGCTTCAACGTCATAAATAGAACCCGGCAGCAGTTTTCTGTCGGTGTCGTGTCGTGCCGCACCGCATCCAGTGTAGACCATAGATATGTGTATATACTGTATATCTATGGTGTAGACAGCATCACTAATTATAATGAGTTCTATGGTATTTTGCCACTTGCGTCCGGTGTAGACATGGTGTAACATTGGTTTTGCTTTGTTTCACAGAACTAATCGTTGCCTGGGTTGCGTACGTATATGTGGGGTGGAGCTATCAAAATAGGGGCGAGACCCTTTTGGGGTAGGGGCGTGTTTGTTTTGGTGATTTCAAATGTCAACATTGGCTACCAGAAGTCGCTTACCCCACCTTTAAGCAACATGACACGACCAAAACAGTGCAGTTTACCCTGAAAACCAGTATAACTGCCAATTTAAATTTAACACTGATTTTATGCAAGCGTTTAAACAAGTAGCTAATATTAAATGACTTACATTTTAGACACAGTCAATGCTGACTGTTTGTGTGTGATTGAAAGAAAATAGTTCCAAACATAGCTTCAGAATTAGTCGAGCATGTCTGAGCAACACACGCGGTGTTTCGTTACCAAATGATTCAGTGTATCGAACGAATCAATGATTCAGTAGCCCACTTGGTTCATTCTTGAATGAATCAGGCGTCTGAACCGTGTCTGAATGCATCGTTTGAATGAATGACTCAATGACTCACTCAATAAGAAAGTCACTTGCTGCCACCTGCTGGCGGTTTACTTTCATATTTAAAAGTATTTTATATTTGCATATGAAAACAACTTTTAATTTAAAATTGTAATTTAAAACATAACATTATTTATGCAGTTGTAATTTTGCAGCGTAAATGTATTATGACATTTATGGCATGCTACATTTGCGCTTCATTACATATGTCTGTATAAAAATGCAATGCCACTTCAGCTGCTTTATTTTATTCTGCAGTGGAAAGATCTGTTTTGTTGATTCTGATTTCATTTGATTGGTAACAGTCCTATAGTGTCTCATTATATTAACTGAAATCATTAGTAAAATTTATTTAACTATTTGATATGAAAAATTATGCATACATTTAATAAGGTTAGTAAAAAAAAGCCTTTTAGGCAGAAATTACCTGGAAATCAATTTAAGTAAATCTTAGTATGCAGTCGTGAACTTTAATAATTCAAAATGTAATTTCCCAGCAACAAAATTATGGCCGGTGAAAAAATTGAGTGGCTAGTAATTTTGGAAAACCACTAGTAGCCACAGTGGCTGGTGAGTAAAAAAAGTTAATGTCAAGCCCCGATTATATAACTTAAAGAAAAACAAAACCCTTGCTACCTGTACTACATTAGGCTAACTGAGACTTGTCACAGCACTTGCATATCATTGCTCTTTTGTTGATTTTGATTGCTTCCATTGTCCAAGTCGCTATGGATAAAAGTGTCTGCTAAGTGACTAAATTTAAATGTAATGTAAATTTAAGTCTTGCCTGTATTTATAGGCCTAAGCAGTAATAGTGCGACTGAAAGACAAAGTAAAGTACCTCTGTTTTAATCATCAATAATATGCTGATCAGTAATCTGTAGCAATGTTATATGGCAAGAATCAGCAGAGAGTGTCCAGGAGACTGGAGTGTATTTTAAGAGGACGGACTGATGGATGTGCATATGTAAACATGCCGTTCATGCTTGAACATTTGCTCATATTACACCTTGCTTGTAATCTCACAGAACTACAGAGCACTAACAGAGTTCTGCATTACATAAATGCAACTGTGCTCCACCTTGAAAATAAACCTACAACAGGGTGAAGGATCTGTCAATACAAGGACTTCAGATTATCAGATTAGAAGAAATTCATACCTCAGGTTGCTTTGGAAATCACAAATAACTTCTATTAAAGCATAAATAATATGCTTAACCCTTTGCAGAGTGAAGCACAGACGTTTTGTGAGCTCCACTGGAAGATGGCACTCAAAATACACACCAAAACATATAGCATACTAAAATTCAATTTTTTTACATTTATATTTATCATTAAACATGGCTTCTTTTAAAATATATATTTACAATACATAAATGTTTTTCCATTTCCTCCAACAGCTATAAAGTTCACAGGAATAATGTTACTCTGTGAAAGCTATAGATCATCATAAACACTTGTGCTGGAAATAAATAGCATATGGTGCAAAGCATTATGTATTCGTTTATAATTTTCAAACCATTCTAACTGATGCTTCCAAGACGATTACAACTCTCACAATGTCTAGATGGCTCTGAGCCATTAGGCCATTCTTATTATTAAATCCTGCATTAATAACCACTCAGAACCTATTAAGCAGCAACAGAGATCTTAGCACGAGCAATCACCAATCTGAAAATCCATGTTTAATAAAGAATAGTGAGTGACTGACTGAATTCTGACTGTAGACAAAAAACTTTATAAAATAAAGATTCCCCTTTATAAAGAAAATAAAGAAAAAGGCCCAAATTTGTCAAGATTATTGTATTTCAATTTCATCTAAACTAATCCAGAAATGGGACAGTTTAAAAACTGCTTGCCCATTATCATCACAGCATTGCTAAACAGCAAGAAAAGCAGATATCTCTGCATGGCACAGACTTTCATTAAACTAACTTACATTGTATGCAGCTGATAACAGCTATCTCACTTCTACACACAAAAATAATTTAAACTCTCTGAAATACACTGCACATATTTCTACATTCACTCTAAAGTTAGAGGTAAACTTTCAACTGAAATGTCAGGTGTTACTCTTAAAATAAATGACTGCTATCACAATAAGAAAATAAACTTAAAGCGTCAAAACTGCATCACTGAGACAAAGTGAATTTCTTTTGTTAATGCTTTTCATTGCTTCACTCTCTACACTGCAGATTACAGAAACACTTTCTTGGTTGTTCAAAATGTGGATCAAGAACAACGTTGACCACTAATTCATTCAGTTAAACATTGATATTCATTTAGAAGGCAGAGACAGCAGCTGGGATCACTATAAACAACAATGAAAATTGTTTGGCTGTTCTTACAAGCAAAGGCTGCAAAATTGGTTCAGTCAGACATGCCAGTTTGCTCTGACAGATTAATTCGTGATATTTAATCACTTGCAGATCATGCAATCCATTCATCTATGACACACAACAACAGGTTTGCCTACGCAGGAAGGAGAGACACATTACATCCTGACACCCAAAATAAACACTGCAAATCTGCAATGCTCATGTGTACACCAACAACAGTAAACAAGCTGTCAGTGTAGAACCGTTATGACTAACGTTACCATTACTCAACTGATCTAACTACCACACAATACTGGTCAGTGAATGTTGTGTCTGATCTAATTCTACTAGAGATTCAATAAAATATGTCACAAAAACATAACAGTCAAAGAGCATCATGCATAAATATATATACAACAATAGTGAATCAAATGTGCCACAATAGCCACAGAAAGGGATTAATTAGCTCAATACTGTAACTAACGACAAGCTAGCATGCTAGCTAGCTAACTAACTAACTAGCCTAATGAACCTCACTCATATACACTACGGTTTCTACTGAGAAATTATGATACATTTCAATTATAGCAAACCCATTCATCTTTTAAGTTTAAGAAATATAGGTAAATGAGGCTACATGCGAGTTGAAGTGGGGAACACTGCGCAAACACGGTCAGTGTGTTGTACTCTAATCAGTCTCTCTGTAAGGTTACTCACAATGTACTCGCGCACTTGGCTGTGGAAATTCTGCTCTCTAATCGTCACATCGTCTTCTTCCATTCTTCATATTGCAGAAACACATTCATTAGCAACGCATTTTTGTGGCGATTCCATTCGCTGTAAGAGAAAGGACCTCTGTGAGATAAACTGACCACCGGCGTAGAACTCGACTGACTGACTGACAGCGTTCGCGAGTCGCGTCTCAGCGCCAAATAAACCACCAAAACAGTCAAAATATACTGCGTCATCATTCAGCGACACACGACAGGACAAGAGGCTTCACGCACACAGGTGTGCTGTCACTGAGAGTGAAGTCGAATTAGATGTAAGATTTACATAATTAAAATTTTGTTCAGCGTTGTTTTGGACAGGTCTGACGTTTCCTGACGTAGCTGAAACGTTATACTGAGAAAGCATAACAGTACACTTTGCCAAACATAGAAATATATAAATATGTTTTTTGTTTATATATATATATATATATACACACACACACACATATATATACGTGTGTTATATGTGTGCTACAATAGCCTACCGCTTATATACACTCAGAAAGTCTTCAGTTTTGTGGACATTCATAAAAAGGTCAGTCATTAGTCACTGTCACAGTCAATCTACACAGCAATGACCACTGGATTTACAAAAATCATTTCAGGTTTAAGAAGTGCATCAGCTACTGATGAACATGTTAATTTTTATTTGAATTATCACTGATTCTGTTATTTTACCATGTATTACTTTTGTTTATCTTTCAAACAAATTTACCAATTTTTTTGTCATCTGATCCTCTTTCACCTAATATATTTTTATTTGAAGTACCCCTGAGGTTTTAAAATAAATATTTTAATAATGAAGTATCACAATTGCATGTTATGTTCACATGACATGCAGGTAAACAAATCAAATATTCCATCTAAAAGTAATCAAAAAGTAGTCTGATTATATTACCAAAAGGGTTAAATGTAATGGATTACATTACTAACTAAAATTTTTGTCATGTAATTTGGAATCAGTAACAGATCATAATTTGTAAGTAATCTAACCAGCTCTGTACATAAAGAAGCTAGGAAGCGCACACAAAGACCTGTGTCCTCTACAGTACTACTACTTCCACTACCAATAATAATCCTTCCATAAATGTATTATCTATCGATCCAGTCAATACTACTACTATTACTACTACAACTACTACTACTAATGATAATATAATGCTGGCATCAAATAGTAGGCTATATCAGGTTATGAGTAAATGTCTTCGGCTACTGGTGTCTCCAAGATGAAAAGAGGCCTATATATTAGAAACAAACCCTTTATATGTTTATGTAGTTTAATTAAACGCACATATACTTGTTATTAAATTGTTAATTCATATTTCGACAAGTAACGTTACGCTCCAACTCAGTAGATGGCGATAAAGCCACTCAATTTTCTTTTCTCTACTGTCATAACGTCTAACGAAGAAGCGGCATCAATGGCGACCTCCAGCTTCTACATGCGTTGTCTTTTCTGAGAACTTTCATGGGATAATTTGCGATATTCAGTCTGTAAACACGCAACCATTTACAACAAATAAAAATTATATTCACGGCCAGATATATTTCACTTAGAAAATGAAGGCAAAGGCGCAGCGCAAGGGCAAAGGGAAAGCTGGAAAGCAAACACACAGGGATAAACTTCAGAAATTCAAGGATTCCGTTAATAACTTTGTGAAGAGCAAAGGCGGCTTCGGTGAAAATGAAAGCGACCAAAGAGGATTATTCGTAAAGAGGAAAAGTAGAAAAGTGCTGCGCAAAGAGAAACGTAAGTTAAAGAAAGCCAAAAAGAAAAGTCACTACATGGGTCAGTCACCGCAGAACCCCAGCGAGGAACCTGCTCCAAATACTCCTGCTGAGGAGGAAAAGACACAGAAACCAGCCCAGAAGACGACTGGAAATCTTAAAAATGCCGCTCAGAAACAGCAGAAGGCAAATAAAGACAGTGAAGAAGAGACGACAAAAAGGAAAGTCCACTTCTCCGAAGATCTGCCAGAACAGAGAAAGAAATCTAGCCTGAACGAGAGCAGAAAGCGGGCTCTATTAGAGGCGAATATCGAAGAGGACAAAGAAATAAAGAGATTAGAGAAACGCCTTGGGCTGAATAAAAGAAAGAACAAAAAGAGTATACCTCAGTCATTCACCAACGATGGACTCGATTACATTTTAGGGTTTCTTGAGCCTGGAGCATCTGCAACGGGACTGTATGAGAGTGATGAAGAAATGGACATTGATAAAGCTAAAGATGACTTTGATGAGTTGGACGAGGACAGCGACGGGCAAATGACAGACGATGAGAACAAGGATGAAGGTTACAGTGATAAAGAGGAAGGAGATGGAGAGGATGATGCACAGATGGAAGAAGAGGATGATGTAGAAGATGACAACCAGATAGAAGATGAGATGGAAGGAGATGAAGAAGAGGAGGATACAGATGCATCAGAGGAAAATGATGATGGGGAGGAAGTTGACTCTGAACAAAAAACACCTGAAAGCCAGGAGCCCGTATGTCATTCTAAATCTGGATATTATATTTTATTATCATTTAAGTTTAACTCTCCCTGATGATCAAATCACATTTATTTATGAAACTCTTTATTCAATTACAAATTATTTCAAAGCAGCTTCACAGTAATAAACACAAAAGTAACAGTGTTAATGTTGCAAAATTAATCAATTAAGGAATAAATTCAATTTCAGCTGTGGAACAGCTCAACCAAAGACAATAGTGTCATTATTCAGCTCAATTTAGTTCAGTGTTGATGAAATTATTTGAATAGTGGTGTCAGTGTTGCAACGTTCATCAGTCATGAAACAAGCTTAATTCAACTATAAAGCAGCTCTACAGAAGACAAAAGTGTCATTATTCCATTATTCAGTGTCATAAAGTCAGTATTGGTTATTTTTCTTTCGTTCCCCACACCGCATGCTCATCAGAAGAATGTTTTGAAGCTAATATTTGTGTGTGTTTTATATATAGAATCCTGCCACAGCAGGCAAGTATGTTCCCCCTCACTTACGAGAAGCCGTGGACAGCAAACGCAAAGCCGAGCTGGAGAAACTGAAGCGCACTGTGAAAGGTCTGATAAACAGGTAAGATACAATGGAAGGTATAGGCTACAGAAATGCACAATTTGAAGAAGCTTTGTTTTAAAAAATAAATACAGTCTTTGGCAAACCAAGTGAAATTCAACCAGTTTGATAACCCTGTCCTCTGTTCGACAGGTTGAGTCAGCCCAACATGGCATCCATCAGCAGTCAGTTGGAAGAGCTGTACATGAGCACCAGCAGGAAGGACATGAACGAAACACTCACTGACATTCTGCTGGCTGCCTGCGTCACTCCTGCTCTCATGCCTGAAAGGTTACCCTTTGAATAATGACTTCATTTAATAACTGACTCTTTGATAATCCCTTTAGTATTTAATGTATGTTGATTTGAGAGAATTAACTTGCCGATATTCTATTTTAACTTAATATTCTTCTTCTGAGACGTAAGACCCTAGAGCATTCAAGCCACTTCCACCAAATTAGGCTCAGACCTTCAAACCGTTGAGAACAAATTTTGCCCAGATCTGCAGTCTGGACGATGGACGTGTAAACACTAGTTGCTGAAAGTCAGAGCCAGTCTGCAGGTTTTGGCCAGTCTGAGTTTACAGGTTTCGCAGAGTATTGTTTGTGAAGGGCTCAGATTCAGATTTTTTACCTTCAGACTATGATTCCATCTAGTCAGACGACATCAAACATGTTTGATATTTTGAGCCAGTTTTAAAATACGTATTGTTTTTATTTGTCACGTATCTCCTAGCAACAAGCCACATGTTTCTGCATGAGTTTGTTGTGTTGTGAATGACTTGAAAGTTTGGTATTTTGTGATTCTCAGTTTATTTAGTGCGTGATGCCCAGTTTTAAGCTACTTACTACTTCAAGCTATTTAAACTTCTTTAAACATTCTAGCTGGGCTTTCTTAAAAGGGTGGTTGATCAGCTTTTTTCGAAGGCTTGATTGTGTTTATGGAGTGCAGTGTAACATGTTCTCATACTTTGTTTTAAAAAAACATTTATTCTGCACTATTTCCATTCTCGTCAAAACGGTCTGTTGACTTCCTGGTTCTATGAAGCCGCTCCCTCAGAAATATGTAAACATTTATGTAAACATCAAGGTTAGTGATGTCACAAACCCGGTAAGGAGCTCGTTGTAGTCCCTATCATCCTTTTTTGTAGTCCTTAAACAGCGCTTTGTTTTGTTTTTTGGCAGAAAATATCTCACTTTGCATTGAACTTTGAGCGTCGTAACTTTGCAGATGTTGTTTATGCTCTAACAGTAACATCACACACTAACTAAAGTTAAAAAGTGAAATCATAATCAACCAAACCTTTGTCAACATCAAAGTTTGTCTTGTACTGTATCCTGGCTCACTTAAATTCTCACTCAAGAAATTAAATATGACCTTAAAACAACACACCGATAAATACTTGTAAATTATTTTAATTAACACTCACTCTCTCTGCCAGGCTTCTAATGGAGCACAACCTTCTTGTCAGTGTCCTTCACCATAGTGTTGGCCTGGAGGTATCTAATATTTTACTTCACATTAAATCATGGCAATATAGTCCACACTAACTTACTGTTGCATTTAGTGGCATACTATTATAAGAATCTCTGTCGTAGTGTGTGTTTTTGCTTGATGCTGGCTAATTTCTCACTTGTTTTCCCTGAGGTTGGAGCTCATTTTCTGGAGACGGTAGTCCGTCAGTTTGATAAAACCTACAGTCAGCTTGATGCTACAGACAAAGAATGTGACAACTTGGTGTCCATAATTGCCCACCTCTACAACTTCCATGTGGTCCATGCTCTCCTGGTGTTTGACATTCTGAAGAAGCTGGTGACACGTTTCAGCGCAAAGGATGTAGAACTGGTTCTTCTGGTGCTGAAGAACGTTGGGTTCGCTCTGAGAAAGGATGATCCGTTAGCTCTTAAGGAGCTGATCTCCGAGGCTCAGCGGAAAGCCAACGCTGAAGGAGAGCGTTTTCAAGACCAAACAAGGGTAAGACCTTTGTCATGTGAAGAAGCTGTCTTCTGGTGCTTAGGAATTATCATATTATATTTGCTTTTAATCATTTACTCATTAATCCAAAGCAAATTACAAACGAGGACAACTGAGGTGAATCATCAATGA